TTCTTCCACAATTGATGTAGAATGGGAAAAGGGAAAATAGAATTAATAAAAAATTTAATTAAATACCTCGTTGAGCACAACCAGATATAAGCAAAAAAAAATTTTAGATAAAAAAAAATTTATATATATAAAAAGGATTAATTATCCAGGACCGCATTATTCTACCCTGTTGAAAATTCCTATGTGAGAACACATATGGGATCCCATCCAGGATCTCTTGTGAGTTCTTATGTGGGTTCCCATACAGGTTCACACATAAGATCCTGTATGAAAAGGTTCCTGGGATGAACTTGCGTGAGCAATAACACAGGATCCCATGAGGTTTCCTGTGTAGGTTCCTATATGAACAACACGATAAATAGGAACACACATGGGATCTTATCCGAGATCTTGTATGAGTTCTTACATAGGCTCTCACATATAAGAAGATTAATAGCAGCTTAATAAGATTTTATATAATGCTTTTATATATATGCTATTAATCTTCTTATATGTGAGAACCTATGTAAGAACTCATACAAGATCTCGGATAAGATCCCATGTGTGTTCCTATTTATCGTGTTGTTCATATAGGAACATACACAGGAAACCTCATGGGATCCTGTGTTATTGCTTTTACAGAGACATAAGATCGTGCGCTTGATCTCACGCAAGTTCATCCCAGGAACCTTTTCATACAGGATCTTATGTGTGAACCTGTATGGGAACCCACATAAGAACTCACAAAAGATCCTGGATGGGATCCCATATGTGTTCTCACATAGGAATTTTCAACAGGGTAATTAATTTCAAAAATCATTAAAAACACTAAGTACATCTCTCTGAATAAACATAATAAAATATAAAAATGAAACAATGAAAATTCAAGTATTAAAATAATTATAACAAATTTCAATTGACAATAAATCATTCTGAAGTCAAAATTCATCTTTAAGTAAAAGTAATTTTGAAAGAAGGGAGAAAAAAATTTTTTTTTTATAAAAGAAGAAAAAAAATCGTAAAAATTACAATATAAATTTTAAAAATTTATTATTTTTAAAAAAATTTTATTAACGGATTAAGATTAAAAAAAGTTGAACTGTAGATTTTCTTCGTTAAACACACCTGGTCAAACAGCTGTTGAGAAATCACGAACATATACTTGGACTCACTGCAGGATGTATATACTTTAAGTCCTCAGTGTGAAATGATGACGTAGAGACCAAGTGTTGACAAGGGGGATGCTCCTAGCAGAAATCCCGGAAAAGTCATGCGCCACAGAGAAAAATGGCTTCCATCAAAAAACGAGGGAAATTTTGGCGGTAAACTCCCAGCATTGAATCCTCATCCACAAAGAAAATGCTCCTGGAGGCGATTCATCTGATGCCGGTGTTCTCGATATAGGTCAAAATCATTGGATGAATCCTGGAGGCGCTGATAAGGTCGACATGAACTCGTTCACCGAGTATATCCTTAGTGGGAAAAGAGCATGGCATCACATCCGCAGAAGGAAAAAAGCGTCGTTTAGAAAATCTGCACTTAAATTGCCAAAAATGGACATCCAATTCGTTGAAATGATGAAAGGAAAAATAGTTTGTATTCGCGTAAAACATTAACTGCATTTTAGCGAATTTTCGTGTCTTTAAAATGCTTAAATAGCGGCATTTTTATATGAGCACATGTTAGATTTTCTGGTGAAACTTTATAACACAGAGTTCCAGACTTGTAGAAATTTTAGTTGGAAAATATGTGGATAACACAGTAAAAAAATCAATGTTGAATTAAATCCAAAAAATAAATTTGGCTCAAAACTGTGATGGCAAAAATGTCCATCGATACAAAAACATGTGTTCATCGTAGACGGGGTCACCAATGTGGAGATTTTAGTTTATAACTTTAAATAAAAATGGTTCTCCATACCATTAAGTTATAAAAATAACTTTTATAAATAATTAGACCAACATTAACAATATAACAATTTATTATCATACTACAAATGATAATTGATAGCACATGTCTATGACTCAATAACTGTACGCATACTGATCCACTACTTAGCAACCGTTGCTACGCTTACTTCAGCCCATCAACAAAGTGGGGAGAGGGGAAGATAAAGTATTCCCCACACAAACTGTTTTTGAGCGCCATCTACTGATCAATGCGTGTATTACGTCTATAATATGCATATATTAAGGTTACAACAGTTTTTTATGGGCTTTCAAAATATGTTAATGAAAAAAAAATCAGCTTTGCAACCATCTTAGTTAGAAGTCTCTAACTTTTTTCTAACTTGAAATATCTTGCTTTAAAGTCAGCGCCGAATTTCCACTCCTCGAACGTCAGCCGTACCGACAATTTCCGATGGTAGTGTATATACATATATACACTACCGTCCGAAATTGTGCGAACTCTGCTTTTTCAACAACGATAAAACTGTTAAAATCTTCAAAAATATTAAAACTGAAATTTTTTCCTCTTTATTTTATTAAAGCTAATAAAATTCTGAAAGAAATGACACCTTGACAAAGAGAATATGTTTATTTTTCAATTAGATATCTAAGAAAAACACAATTTTCAATGTTTTTACTATTTTTTTTATTTCTCTGGCAAAAATTAATATTTTTAAACGTTCTTAGGCTCATTGAAATCGTATTTTGTTATGCAATTCAAATTATATAAAACAATTCATGTACACATTCTTCCCTAGCGTATGCAAACCGTGAATGTTGGCTCATAAAATGTCAAAAAATTTAAATTTAATTCTACAATAAAATATAATGTTTAAAAATCAAGTAAATATATCATTCTAAACTTCTCTGATTTATGTAAGTAAATTTAAAATTTATACATTTTACTGATAATTTTTTGTCATATAAATATTAATCACAATTTTTTGACATTTTATGAGCTAACTTTCACGGTTTGCATACGCTAGGGAAGAATGTGTACATGAATTGTTTTATATAATTTGAATTGCATAACAAAGTACGATTTCAATGAGCCTAAGAACGTTTAAAAATATTAATTTTTGCCAGAGAAATAAAAAAATAGTAAAAACATTGAAAATTGGGTTTTTCTTAGATATCTAATTGAAAAATTAACATATTCTCTTTGTCAAGGTGTCATTTCTTTCAGAATTTTATTAACTTTAATAAAATAAAGAGGAAAAAATTTTAGTTTTAATATTTTTGATGATTTGAACAGTTTTATAGTTATTGAAAAAGCAGAGTTCGCACAATTTCGGACGGTAGTGTATATATATATATATATATATATATATATGTATATATACTATTGCTTTGTAAACGAAATGAAGGTGCATGATGCACCTTTATGCTCGTGCGTTTTCTTACTGCATGATACTTTGTTTCTATCAGTATAATAGCTTGTTCATCATATAATATTGTCTCTATTGGCCATTTCATTTTTTGCTTTAATTATAAAATGACATGACATGATCTTCAATACATTACAAGAGAGTTAAATAAAATTCCTTCAATGGCTTGCATAAATAAATAATAACATATATAATATATATTATTATATTATAAAATATAAATAATAATAATTGAAAAAATAATATTTCAATTGAGATATTTTGATATTTTTGAGAGAATTCGAGTGATACTTGAATTTTATCATTAACATTTTTTGTTCAGGAGGCCTTAAACTACAAAAGTGCAAAGTTTCAGAAAAATTGACTGAAAGCCAATTTCTGTATGAAAAGTGTTGGGTCCTTTGCTATTTTCACTAAAATCGGTCATTTTTAAAAAAAATAAATCGGAAAAAATTTCAGCTTTCGTATGCAATTATTTATTTTTAAAAACAGGACCGATTTTAGAGAAAATAGCAAATTTATGTTTAATTATAGAAAACAAAGGTCAATATTCAAAACTTTTTAAAAACAAAATTCACCATTGGAAAGAGCATGAAAAAATCTTCAAAAAACATACCTGACAATTTTTTTTTATTGAATTTATAGACAGCAAAAATTCAAATAGTAGGCGTTCCTGACTGATAAGATTGACCCCTTTCTACCTCCCCCAAAATTTCAAAAAAATTAAAAAAAAATTTTTGGGATATTTTACTATCAGATAGGACAAGAATTTTCACAGGTTTTACTTTTTTCGAGAAATCAACTTTTCAACTTATTGTTAGGACATTACACATAAAATTCCGCAGATAAGAGCTTTTTTTAAAAATGAGAAATTTATTGAAAACTACGCAAGATAAGGAAAAATATCAAGAGACATTTTTTTATATATTTTAAAGAGAAACAACTTTTATTTATGAAATTTTTATAGGGAGCGTTCACAAATGATGTCACGCAGTTTTTCTAGATTTTTTACCCTTACCCCCCCTGTCACGTACAAGTTAACTCCTAACCCGCAAATGGACATCACGTTTCATAAACCCCCCATTTTTTATTTGAAATTCTTCAGGGATAATAAAAAATTAATATTTGGTACAATTTATTATAATCATTTAAACTTTTTATTTTTCAGTTAGTAATCTTTTGTTTATATTTGGTAATATCTCATTAATGTAAATTATTATACTATTCTAGTAAATTTAAAAAAAGTAACGAAATACGATAGGTTCTTTGGAGATCATAATTGTCACGTAGATTTAATTCATATTTTTTGAATCAAGAACATATTTTTTATCAATATACTGTATTAATACATGTAGATAACGAAAAATAAAATATCATTGATATTATAATAGACTAAAACTTTTAAAATTTTTTTTTTTAAATCTTAGGATAAACTTTTGAGCTCTTAGTACATTTTTAGAACAAGTTATAAATACTCTTTTAACACTTCTAAAACCTTCTAAATCAAAATCACATTCTTTATTTTAGTATTCTTATATTTTAGTTTTTACTGTGTTTCTGAAGAGTTTTTACCGGTAGAGTGCAATTTTAACGTATTCTATCAATTATTTTTGTAAGGAAACACCGCACTTTTTTTTAATATAAATAGACAAACATTTCAAATGAAATTATATTTATGTTATAGTGGCTTTCGACTTTCACATGGGAGTTTTAACCAACGAGAAAACAGAAAATTCATTATGTACACAATTTACGCATGGGGATGTTCTTTAATTTTAACGCTCTTATGTTGCGTTATGGAAACACTTCCAAATATTCCAGATTATATAATAAAACCTGAATTCAGTAAGGACAAATGTTGGTTTCAAGGTAAGTTACAATACAATTTTTAAATTTAAATTAAGAATTTATCACTGGATCGTATTTTAAATAATAGCAAAGAAAATATTAATCACTCCCCAATTTGCACATTATGTAACTGTTCTAGAACAAAAAGTGTAACTTGTTCTACAACAAGTGTTACAATTTTCTTATAGAACAGTTCTGGAACTGTGTTCTAGACCTGCTCTGCAACAGTTGTTCTGTCTCTGTTCTAATCTTCAACGGAAATTGATTTTCTTTATTATTTTGAAAATTGAGAAAAAATATTTATAAACTATTTTATTTTTATCATTATTATTTTCTTTCAATCTATAAAAATATTTAATAAATTATTTCCGTGAAATATTCCCTCAATATCACTGGACTATTCTACCAATATCACTGAGATATCATCATGATGCGGACACTTTGATCTCCATTATATATTACAGGAATATTCCAAAAAATATTCCAATGCTATTTGTGTCATACTGTGCTATGTGAGCAGTTACTTTTTTAAAGTTTTTTAAGTCAGGAAAATTTTACTCAAATAAACTACAAATTACAAATCACAATTTTATTTTTATTAAACTTTTACAAAAAAAGTTTTGTAATTCTTCTAGAATATTGTTATAGTTCGGTTACAGAATTGTTATAGAATTAAAATTTATAATAATTTATTTTGTTATCAAATTTTTACATATTTATTCTAGAACAATGATCTAGAACATTGTTCTAGAATTGTTACATATCCTCTTACTGTTTTTTGCCTTCAAGGGGACGATATTTTTACTGATCTGTTCCTCACCAGTTCTAGAACTTGTTCTTTTTTGTCATAGAACAGTATCCGAAATCTGTTAGTAAGTAGCTTTCTTTTATTAAAAAACCGGATGTGGAATTACCTCAGGAAATATCCCTCCCCCATTCAAACGGAAATATTATTATTATCCGAATTACATCAAAGCGATGTCCATAGGATGTCCTGAACAGAGTCAGATTTACCAAAAATGGGCCCCTAGGCAACTCTGGTGGGGCCCCATGCAAGGAAAGGGTTTTCCAAAAATTTTAAATAAAGTATATATTACATACTAACAGGAATTTATTATAAAAAGCATTGTATACCCTAAATAAGACAGTAACTACAGAAAGTGTTTTCTTCCTCCTTTAAATTTTCTTTTCAAATCATTTATAACTTTTATATTACTTATCCACTACTTTGGTTAAAAATTTTTAGTTTTTTCTCTTAAAATAAAATACATATCAATCATAGAGAATACTATACCTTTACAATAATATTTTACTACATTTTTTATCAGAAAATTCTTCGATAATATCCAAAAAAGACAATTGTTTTAATAAGTCGCTTTCAATACTCATCAAAGAAAAATGATTAAGTCGATCTTGACCCATGGATGACCTTAAATGAGATTTTATCAATTTGAGTTTTGAAAATGACCTCTCACTAGTACAATTTGTTGTCATAAGAACCAGGTAAATTTTCAAAAGAATAAAAACATTTGGAAAAACTTCTTGCATTTTTTTCCCAATTATCAGCTTGAACATTTTAAGCTCGAAACAGTCATTGTTCTTTTTATTATCAGTTTCTCTATCAATATCACACTGTTTAACATATTCTTTAAATTAAACAAGTTCTGGTATTAAATTTTCTTCCTCGTCGTCTTTATAGATATCAATTAGCTTAAGGCAATGCTCTTTAATTTCTTGAAAAGATAAATTTTCAAATGTCTTAAGAATTCAAAATAATTACTAGCCTTTTCATAAGCTACAATTCTTTGAGTTAAAGACTCGAGAAGCTGATCTACTTACAGGGGTGAAACATTCAATACGAAACTTTTCAGAGGATGTCAACTGAACATTTTCCATCTGTTTGTAGCCTAGATTATTTAATCTTATATTCTGTTTGCGGACTCGTTTACGTTCATATTCATGCAATTCAGATTTTTCTTTTCCTAAATTAACGTGTTAAGATCTGAATTGATGCTCTGTAATTTCAAACTAATTTTGTTGACTCTTTGTAAAATTTCATTCCAAAAGACGATCTGAATGCATGTTTCCAATTTAGACAAGAATTACAGCCTCTGATCAAGATGCCCATCTTGTTGTACTTACTCTTTTAGGAATCAATGAGCGATCATTGCTGTCCATCACACTTTGTTTCAACTTTTGAACTAGTAATTCGTAGCACTCAGATGATCCAGTAAAGAAAACATAAATTCTTTCTAAAAAATCGAAAAACTTTTGTGCTTCTAAACAACATTTCATCGCTGCCGTACCAACTAGATTTAGTGAATAAGAGAAACAAGCTATCCACAATGCTAATGGATTTTCGCGTAGCACGAGCGCCTGTTTTTTGTGCTTTTTCGATTGGTGAAAAAATATTTCAAAAAATTCAAAATTTGACCATTTTTTCTGAAAATTAAAATTTTTTTTGACTTTTTTTTAAGTTCGGTCTTGTTTTTAATTAATTTATTTTTTTTTGTCTGTTAAAAATGTGCATTTTTACCTGAAAAAATATTGAGATGTCCTCTTTTGTTATTTTCGAAATATTAGTTTAATAATTAATTAATGTTAATAAAAATTTATATATTTTTTATAAACGAATAACGGTATAGTAATTCTGACGTTACTAAATGAAAGTTGACAAAATTCCGAATCCAACGAGCCCTATATGAAGTACTTTGGGTTAGTGGATTGTTAATAAACAATTGGCTAACATGGCAATTGTTTATAAAAAATCCTTTAATCCAAAATAGTTCATATAGGGCTCGTTGGATGCGGAATTACGTCAGCTTTCAATTGGTATCTTCAGGATTGCAATAACTTTATTTAGTTGTGAAATATTTCATTTTTTATTAACATTTAATTAATTAATTAATTAATTAATATCTGGAAAATAAGAAAAAAGCACATCTCAATATTTTTTGTGGTGAAAATACACATTTTTAGCTTTTAAAAAAAAATAAATAAAAAAAATAAAAAGGACCGAACTTAAAAAAAAGTCAAAAAATAGTTTGATTTTCCAAAAAAGGGTCAAAATTTGAATTAAAAAAAAAATTTCACCGTTCGAAAGAGCAGGAAAAAACCTTTTCAAAACATGTAGGTCAAATTTTTTTTCATCTTTCTGTTTAAAAGTTACAAGCCTTCAAAAATCCACTGTTTAAAGTTTTCAAAAAAAATCAACCCCCTCCCTCTCCGACAGTTTTTGAAAAAACCTAACAATACTTCGTGGTTAAAGTATTTACCTTTAGGGCTAAACTATGTGCAAGATACAGCCCGATATGATTATTTTTTTTTCACTTAGTTCGCTACAGGAATTTTATCCCATATATAATGATCTTGAGTTAATATATTTTACATTTCTTAGAAGTCAATTAACTTCTTAGACGAATTCCATATTTTCTTGGACCAAGAACATTCATTCTTCTGACAATGTAAATAATTTTTTGATTTAAATCTTTACTTACTTGAACCAACATTACAAAGATTTAAATGAATCAAATGCAATAATTAATTTGACTACAAATATTCTTAGAACAAGAAAATATTTTACTCATACTCACAGAAGTCGATTAACTTTTTGATCGATTTCCATATTTTCTTGTAAAGAACATATGTTCTTGTTTCAAATATACTGCACCAAGTATAAATGGTTTTCTTGAAACAGTAGCATAATTGATTTGACCGTATTTATTCCCACAATTTTCGTGAACCAAGTAAAATTTTCTTGGTTCAATGCTATTTTTTTTAGTGTTGTCATTTTTACGATTTCTAAATTCATTTCCGATCATCACGTCTTACAAGGCTACGTAAATAAAAAAAGCTCCGTCCTTCTGGCCGCGTGATCCAGACTGTGGCCTTTGTACTTGATTAGCGCTCGGTTCTACGCTTATAAAATGTAAAGGAATGTGAACTTCACTTTAAAACATTGGAAGCGTATTCTTCGATAGTTAAGGGGTTAGTACCACATCTCAGTCACTTTTCTTAAACATTTTTTTTATTACAAATTTTATTTTATTTACTTCAAACTTTTTATACCTAAAAGAAGGGGTTTTAAACTATTCAAAAAAAATTTTTATTCCTTATTTATTACGGATTATCTTGCTGTCATAGCTGCCTGAAAATACCGCTACTTGTGATTAGCGGACACAATATCTCCAATTTAGGTCATAGAAAAATAAAATTTTTTATGTTTTCTTGAACCTAAGCTTGTCGCTATCTTCGGTACTACGATCAACTATTTTCAATGAAAAAATACAAAGTGGCCGACTTTTTTCATTTCTGACCTTGTTTTTTCAACTTAAATTGTTTAAAAAAATAATCCATAAAAATTTTAGCTTAATCGATGCAATAGTTTTTTTAGGATGTCCGACAGGTCCAAAAACATTGTTTTGGAAAAAGCAAATTTAAGAAAAAATGTCCTTTTTCTAAAAAGTAACTCCATACGTGTCAGGATACATTATATACATGAGCCATTTCATATGAGAATACGGGGTCATGTCTCGGATTTTTCTTAAAATTCAGTAAATTGTAGTGATAGTGGTGCTAAATAAGTGTAAAAATTTTGAATTTGAAATTTTTAATATTTTTCGAGATATTTACAATAACAAATTTCAGCAGTATTTTTTTGCTTTACTTATAACTTTTTTCCTACTAAAAATAGAGAAAAATGTTTTGAATGTTTTTTACGCGGAAGATCTTAAACTTTTAGAAAAAAATTATTTTTTTAAAAAAATATTAATTTTTAAACAATTTGTTTAAAAAAAAAATTTGTTTATAACTTTTAAACATGTTCTCCCTCATTTAGAAGCGCGAAAAAAATCATGAATATTGTTTAAGTCATAAGAAATTGATGGTTAAATTTTTGAGATGGTATTATTTTTTGTTTTCGAGATATTAATTAATTAACTAACAAAAGTTAATAAATATTGAAATATTTTACGAACAAATAAAATTAGAGTAATTTTAAAAACACCATTAGAATTTTTATC